TTTCCCCTTCCTTCTTATTGAAAGTTTTCAGCAGCCAGTGATGATTTTATTATTGATTTCTGGAGAATGTGGAAGCAGCAGTGACTTAAGTACAGGAAATGCATTCCAAATGAATGCATTTGAATCTTATCTACCTCAGAGACAGATGAGAAAAATTTTGGAGAAGGAAGGTAGTCAAAGAGCAATCTTTACAAGCACAATTGAGTTTGTAATTCTTACTAATTCCCTTGCCATCTGCCAATGGCCTGGTGGGAAACTACAGCCAGTTTGAGAACCCCACTGCTTTAGCTCTACTCCTGTCAAGGGACATCTATCCATCACCTCATTGTGCAACCTGTCCCATTTAAGACCTAGTAATGCCAAGGTCTCCTGCATTACTTGGATCCAGACCTGCTAATTGCTGGTATAGCTCACACTGAGAAGGAAACAGCCAAATAAAATGCTGTGTGAAACCTTTCTTTGCTGCACTTCCAATGGGCCTCACCAGCTCTCAGTTCTCAGGTGAGTGTTGCAGTGAAGACTCTCTACTGACATACCTTTATCTTTCTTCCTGAGGTTTGCAGTAAACACAAACAGATTAAGCTGTGAATCTTTTGGATTATGTGCAACGTGTTCTTTTCCCAAGCCATGGGCAGTTTTGACACAACAAGTGAAACAGGAAGGCGGCCCAGAATTGTTACTGACTACTGGTTGTTTAGCCAGTTGGGATGAGTAAGACGAAATGAATCATTTGGATAATAAAAGCAACTACTATTTAGCAAACAAAAATGCACTACAAAGAGACCCTCAAGTCTCTCTAAGTTAAGGATTTAAACAAGAATTTAAAAAAAATCTCAGTTCTGCCCTGACAGCAGACACAGCCCGTCAGTGGCGGCTGCAGATCCTGGTGGAACACCTTCTCTTCCCAAAGAGCAAGGGAACCCTGGGGAATCAGCATGGGCCTTGCTCCCTGTCTGGCAGGCAGCAAGGACAGCAGCAGAGAACAAAGGGCTGCTGGGGTGACGGCTGCATAACATCACAGAAACTTGCCTTAATCCCCGCTAACAGCAAGGGCTGAAATAGCTGAAGACTTGCTTGCGTCAAGCCCTCTGAGATTTTAAGCAGAACTATTTAGCTATGTACACAAACCACAGTCAAACCCCACTGTTCCTTCTGCGCCTTTGACTCTCCTCCCAATAGCACCTTAGAAGAAACATTCTTTTATGTACTAAATGTAATTTACTAACACAAGCAAATCAGTAGATTTAATAGGAAGGGGATAGTCATACACAACACTGATTTCTGAGCCTCTAGTATTAGTGTATCCAGCACATAAACCCAGAGGGACATGGGAATTTCTGTACATGTAGGAGATCTTACTCACCCCATAAGGATGCAAAAGCAATGCTTGATGGGAAAACAAGGAATCTAAAACCTGTGCGAGTTATTTCAATTTCCTTTCATTTTACTTTGAGCTCCCAGCAGTCAAATCAATTCTAGCTGTAACCACAGTGGCTACAAATTTAGCAATTTAATGTCCATAATTTCTCAGAAGAAAAAGCTAAAACCTCCAGATTCTTTTCTTTGCTTGCCCAACCCAGCCATTAACAGTATTTCTCAACCCTATGCAAGGAAAGAGATAAACACAATGAGAGAACATGGAAGTTAATTAACAAAAATTCAAAGTTCAACCTAATTTTGACTTGAAAGCAAACAAAATCGCTGTGGCAATGCTGTATCAGACAGCCTTGAATTTTTCCAATTCTGAGTTAAGTTGTCCTTTAATTTAATAAGGCTAAGAAATGCTACTCTATAAAACAATGCATGAAATCATATTTTATGTGCAATGTAACATGATGATACTAAAATTGCTGTCAGTTGGCAAGCTGACATTCTCAGTCATGCTAGTAGTAGAACATATGATCACTGCAGCATGCATGTAGTAGTTGTTACAATATACTTCAAAATGGAAATGCTACACCCCTAACAAAATTAGATTATTCTAGACAGAAAACAGTGTTATTATTGTAAGTAGATTTGTGTCCTTAAATTCAAATTACCAGAACAAAACTGTCTCAGGCTTCTAAAGTTCAAAATAAGTCAAGTGATTCTGACTTCTCTGGTACTGAACCACCTTCAAAGCAAGATTTTTGGTGCTACCAGTGGCCACTGACTTGGGAATAACAAAGGGAGAAGTAACAATGTGTTTTACTGACACCACAGCCTCCTCTTCACAAGATAGGTAATTCAAAATACTCATTCTTCTTCTGAGGTGCTGACGTGTGTATGACTGCCAGCTATAGGATGAATGTCAGTTCATTTCTGACAGTTCATTTCATCAGTTTATTTCTGATACAAAAGTTCACGACAGAGTGGGAAAAGGAGGTGGCATGTAGTTTTTGGCAGGGTCAATGGCTCTGACTGCCTTCAATCATTGGATATGAAGACTGTGCTTGGGATATTTTTAACAACTTTACAGAAAAGTCACATAGCAATATACAAAAGTACAGGTGCAGAAAACCAGATGAGGAGCTGATGACACTGGAGATGCTTCTGTTCCTCCTCTTTGGTCTATTTACATGTCTTGAACACTCTCCAAAAGGCTTCTGCTCAGCATGTATCATCTGGTATGCAGATATCATTTCCAGATGTTAAATTACAGATAAACTAGCTTTTTACATTGTTTTTACTTTTTTAAATCTAGACAGTATCATCTCCATGTGAAACAGTGTGTAAGGCATAACATGCCCAGACAGAAAACATGACAGGGTCTAATGAATGCACTAAAACATACTGACATAATACTTCATTTGCCCCACTCTTCATTGTCTTCTGCAATTAATTAATATTGCCATAATCACATTCTAACACTCCACTCTTTAAAGCCCCTGCAAGGCATAGGTATTTTTTCTTGTATGCAACAGTTATATATAGCAAATAATGGTCAGGTAACAAAAGCCCACATGGAGAAGAACGGATGACTCTGAGACATAAGGCAACAGACAGGGAATTTTGTGTGTTAATTTCCCAGTCAAGTGAAAAAAAAAAAAAAGGAAATAGTACTTACCAGGCATAATGTTTTTCATCTGCAAAAGGCTTTCAAACCTAATTACACTCTCAAACCTCCTCATAAAATGATCTGCAACTATTATCTCTGTTGTACCATGGGAAATGTCACAGGACAGTAGCTTACCCCAGAGTGGTCCAAATTTCCAGTTTTCTGCTTGGAGCACAACCCATTTCTTTTTCTGCACCTTACCCTGTCACTCAACTGCCCTGAATGCATTGACTTTGCCTGCTTCACTGCAGCACTGTCATCTTCCAGCCTTGGAAGCCCTGGGCTCCCATGTCCCTGGGTATTGTTGCTTGAAACATTCACATTTTTACCTCTCAACTAACGACGCATCGTTTTGTGCATAACAACACATTTGCTCTCTGTTTACAGGAACAAGCAACTCTTGAGTAAAATGAACAGTCAGAGAAGTGAGGATAGTGCTGAAGCTCTCCTTCTGTCAGGAGGAAAGTTAGCAACACACTTCATGCTCCATGCCAGCCCCACTGGGATCACCTGAGTCACTGGGAAATGCTGCCAGTTTGCAAAAGGCACAGAAGTTGTTTTTCCTTTATGGATGTGAAACCCACAACTCTTTTATATTCTTTTTAAGCATTTGTTCTTGAACAACTCTTTGCACTCCTTAAAGGCACTGTCACAACTGCCTTTAAACAAGCACTGAAAGCACGCACCTGCAGTCAGGTCCAGCACAGATTAACAACTTCAGGACTTAAAATGTGGCAGGAACTTGAAACAGATGTATAAATAAGGGGTTGAACAACCAAACCTTTTATATATAACTAATGCCTCATAGATAACTGCTTAAAAGAACAAAAGCAAGTGATCTGAACTGCAATTACCTGCCATAGCCTCCAAAACTGCTCCTTGCAGCACTGTTGAACCATGAGCACACAGAAAACTTCTTGCCCTTTGCTTAGCCACCAATTCTGAGTCCTGCGACCATCACACTGTTCCTAGCTACATCACTCACCTCTCATTCCTTCTCAATAGATAGCAAGTAGATGACCATAGCTGACATACCTGTTATTAGGTGTCCCCGACACTCTACCTCCCATTTTCTCAGCTTATATTCACAACAATTCTAAACTCAAATATCAAAGGTGGTATGAACTTTTTATTCACAACCTTGGAAGTGGTAATGAGAAAGAAGGCAGGATTGTACGTGACACCCTCAGTTACAGCCTGTGCGATACTACAACTTAGGAAAGTGTAAGTTGGCTTTTTATCTCTTCCTTCCTTAAAATACATAACATCATGCAAGTCTGATTATGCAGAAAAGAGTAACTTTACCCCCCTCTTCCTCAAAAGCTTCAGAGAACTTCCCTGTCAAGTATTTGAAAGATGGAGAAGTCATGCAAAAAAAATGTTATGAAACTAAAAGGTCTTATGCAGCCTCCCAAAGCCTATCTGCCATGAAGAATGGGCAAAGCTTTCTGACATAGCTTGTTCAGCTGACACAAGACACTCCCCCTGCCTTGCCTCGTTTGAAAATGAGTCACAATTGTGCTCAACCAAGGAGTGGGAAAGAGGAAAACCTACTCAAATATGACCCTCCCAGGACACAGGAGAGCTAAAGGTGTAGCCCACCATATGCACCAAGGATAAAAGAAATCACCTTGTTATTCAATGCCAAGCTTGCACTGGGGCCAGTATCAAAATATAGTGGAATTTAAGGAAGCAATTAGACTTATTAAGCTTTGGTTTCCTTGACACTCATAATCACTTGAAACTGTAGTACAGCAACACATCTTGTGACCAAATACAGCTTGCAGATAACAAATTTAAGGGAAACACCTAAAATGAAAGTGCAATGAATACTGAACAATATATATGCTAATAGAAGAAGCACCTGCTAACTGGACTAGCCCAACCAGTAACTGGTTTTTGCTTAACAAGAGGCAATATTCGAAACTACCTCAATGACAAAAAATATCAAGGAAATACTCACCGGCAAGTGTATAATCCATATCAAAACCAAAGCACTTTATCTTTTCCATGGCTAAACTTCTGTTTACAAAGACCCTGTAAAGAGAAAAGAAATAAAGCCAGAGAGATGAGCATTAATCACGTTTTAAAACAAACACATTCTGCCAGCTGTCAGGATGTCTGCCTCTCTTAGGTAAAAATCAGAAAATATACCTGAAAATGGAGGCATGTTTCATTTTTTGCCATGAGTTCTCCTGAAGCAAAGTCATGACTTTGCAGGGTTATTCTAATTATTGGTATGCTGTCTAAAGACATACACGCATGCATGCACACACACGGCTTTGCATGTGACCTGCAAAAATCCCTAAGAATAGAAGTGCAAAATCTCCTGAAGCAAAATTCAGAGATCGAGTGAGAGGAAACTGGAAGCAGAGGACAGGAGTACGATTTGCTTGATTAAAAGAAAATATTACAAAGAAGTAACAAGGAAAAGAAAAGAAAATAACATTTCTGCAAATAAACTCACAGTATCTGAGCCCTCTTTGGGACTGTATCTGGAAATTGAAAGCAAATCTGAACAGTTCAGTTTCCACATCTACACCAACAGCATTAAAAACATCTTTAAAAGCTCTAAAAAACAGCAACTGAGATAAATTTTCATCCACAAGAATGTTATTTCCATTGTGAAAAATTTTCTTTTCATTTATAACTCCCCTGCTTTTTATATTTTTATATTTTTATAACTCAAAAACCTGCTGGTTTTAAAATTCCACTTTTACTATTAATACTTATTGCAGTAAGAATGTAAGCTGAATACACCCAGGTCCTTTTTGATGACAATATTTTAATACACCATATTCAATTTAGTTCCAGTAAATAACATGGTAAAGAAATAGGTCAAAGAATATTTTCTTGCTTCCTATTCCAACTACTACAGTAATTAAGCTGCTTATGATTCCCCAAAACTGTAAACTCTATAGCAGATCTGTAATTCAACAGGACTTCTCTCCACTGTCTGTTTTATCTGAACTTTAAGAACGAGACCCAGATGCGGGATGGAAGCTGAGCCTCTTAACACCAACCTCTGACAGAAATCCCACATACCGCTCCAGCTGTGATGCTGAGACAAAATTCTCCTGTGAGAAAAGCTGCAGAGCCTTCACCTGTATGATTTCAGTATGTGAAAACGCTCCGAGTATTTACTAAGTACATTGCCCTCAGCAGAGTAATCAGCCTCTTAAAAACCGACATCGGCAGCACTGCTTCGTAGGAGTAGCAGCACAGGGACATACAGCAATGGAGACGGCAAGTGCAAAGCCAAGCACTTGTACATTCCAAAAAGCTAGAAGAAAGCACAGGGAGATCCTCCTTGGCACACACATTCTGGGCAGGTGGCCGGTACAACGTGCCCATTTAACTGTCCGTGTCAATCCGCCGCAGCTCGAATTTTAACAGCAAACTGCTAACATTAAACTATCGCACTTCTATGCAAGTCGTCTTACCTCATCTCTCACCGATGTGCTCCTTGTTTAGTTCGCAGCAGTCTGATTCATCTACTTGTCTGAATCATATTACAGAATTCCTTTAAAGCTTCTCTAGTACGATGTAATTTTGCTTGGATCTGATTTGACTTCAGAAGATCATTATGTCTGAACCAAGCCTTAAAGTACTGTATATCTTCTTGGACAGTGTTCTAGAAAACACATCTGTGGCTAATTTAACCAGTCACTGGATATCGTTGTTGTTCCACACAAATCCACTTGGAATACAGTTTCTCTGGCAATAGTATACGTTCCCCCTAACCTTGCACACTCTCTCTGGGAGCCACAGTTTCCTGGCAAAGTGCCTGCCTTTGACAATGGGGCTTGTCACTAAGGGGCCTCAGAGGTTACAGATGACGCTTTTTTCTGATAGATTTATGTATTACCTAAACAAGACAAAGTGATGGGGAAAAAAATGGAAACTGGTAAAGAAATGCCTTTTGGAAATACGAGATGGGATTGTAAATCACTAAAATTCACTCCTGAAATGTCTGGCTTTTAAGTAGGTGGAGTAAATTATCCAAATCTGCAGTTTGAATCCGTGTTTGTCTTAACATCGAGATAACTGCGATTTACAAGAGGCCAGTGCAAACTGCTATTTTGAACTAAACACAGTCTCGCAGTTTGTATAATGAAGATGATTACATTCTGATGTTGATGATGCCAGGAAGCATTATTTATTAGCTAATTCAAGCACACAATTTCTGATCTCATGTTTGTGCAATTTGTTTCTGAAAGTGGAAAGCTTTAAGAAGGAATAACATTTCCAGGAGACACTGGCAACACTTTTTGTCCAACCTGCAGAGTCCAGTTTTGTTCTTGCTTAACCCCTGGAGCACAGTTCTCCATCCTTCTGAAGAGGACAGGAATAGCGAGGGAAATTTAAAGCAGCTCAGAAAAGCCTTTCAGAATTGCAAGATTTGGGAACAGTTTCCCAAGTGAGGACAAAAAACAAGCACTAAGACAGAGCTGGATGAGCTTATAAAAAGGGTAATACGACAGTGCCTGTGAAAGGCAAAAACAAGGGAGCTGTGACCCAGGAGATTTCTTCCAGTCCAGCCAGCCTATGTTTAGATGATGACAACACGAAAATGACCAAAAACTGTGGAAAGATCTCTAAGCCTCTGACATTTTTTTCATTGCTTGCATTTGGAGTATTTACAAACTGAACCCTGGGACTAAAAAAAACCCAAACAGCACAGGTTGATACTGAAGATCTGGAAAAGTTTACTAAAGGCAATGAAATGAACAACATCTATTAGCATATTTCTGTTCCAAAATAAGTCTCATGACTAAAACATGAAAATTACTATACCAGCCCCCTCTTGGTAACAGCTGGTGAAGATCTCTCTTTCTCCACCAAGTTGTAAATACTGCCTATGACCTAGAAACCATATGTGGCAGGGTCTAATCATGCCCCAACAGTGCACAGGACCTGGCAGACTTCAAGGCTTCCTACTGACTGCTCTGACATGGTAATTAATTCACCAACCAGTGCTGGAATGAAGCAGAGCAAATATTTCAAAAAGCTAAAGAAGGCTATTACACAACATGTTCAGGACAGGAAATGAGAACACTTTAATCAATTTAAACTTGGATATGCCTTGACAGATTAAATGGCAGACTAAACAGTGGCAAAAAAAAAAAAAAGGAATCAACTTCACTTCTCTTGTGAAGGCCCAGATACTGGGTCATGTTACAGGCACTCAAAACCTCAGCTTTAAATCCTGATAAAGGAAGATGCCTCCCATGGACAGTGCCACCCCTAGACACAAGAGGCTAAGTAGATACTTACAAATATTTACTCCCAGAAGCTGACCAGCTTAATACAGGAGGTTTACTTAAAGTAGTAACTATCTGCAGTATCCTAGAAACTAAAGATAAAAGTTGAGATTAAATCACCACGACAGTTTCTGGGAAGATCCAGGTGCTTCTCAGAAGCTGCAGACTTAGCCCATTTCAAAGCTGTGCTTAGATCCTAATCAAATGTACTCTCAGCCTGATTTGTAGCCGGTCAAATGTTGGCTGCAAAAGTGTAATGTCTTCACAGAAGACACAGTATAAAGAAATAACAAGAGTTGTTTTTAATGACTATAAAGCAAAACCAACACTAAGACCCTAAGGACCCTAACCACCTGAGAGAAACGATCCTCTGGTCTCTAAAGCAAAGGATGAGATGACAAGTATTTAACAGCTCATCTAGACAAACAAAAACCAAAGAAGCTTCCAGATTACAAGCAGTTGAGATAAAGTCAGAATAAAAGGAAAACTAAAATCACCCAATGCTTTTAGTAAGTTTTGATCTAGAGTAATTTTTCCACTTGCCAGAGTCAGAAAGAATTACACTTTCCATTCCCCCTATTTTGGTGAGGTTTTTTTTCAGAACATATTTGTTTTAATAGGACCTCTGGAGTTAAAAATTAAGCTGATCTAAAAATCTAACAGTTCTGGACAATAACACAAATTAAACAGCAGGCATAGCGTGAGAACACCCTCCCCATTCCTTGTGCTGAGAGGCAGAGGTAGGTGCCTAAACCCAACTCCCCAGCTCCACATCTGTCAGCAACCAGAGCATCTCCTTAAATAGGACATTGCCCTTCTGTTGCTTTCATAGAATCTCTTTCCTTCTGGATGAAGAAGGTTCATATTTCTGCTTTGAGGAATAGCCCTGTGAATCTCTACAGTTTTGCACTCCCTGTGCAGTGTAGGTAAAGCAATTGGTGCTTGTGAGGAACTTGGTTGAGGGACCATATCCAGCCAGCACAGGGCACAGCTGGGAGTGGGGAGACAGCCGCCTGGACTTGGGGTGCCTTAGCCTGGCACAGACCCACACCTTTAGAAAAATGGACTTGAGGAGCTGTTTAAGGAAAACCATGAAACACATTTCCTCTCTAATGAGTTCTTCCTCAAAGATCAAACCCTGCAGCTTGGCCCAGCAGAAGGCTCTCGATGACAATACTTATTTTCTTTTTGAGCTCTATGAATTGTGCTGGATAAGAGAGAAATGTGTTGCATTGCAAGGAAAAAGGAACTGCTGAACATGCATAAAGGGAGTCACAGAGCCCTGATATCCTCAACACTGCAATTCACAGTCCTTTATATTTTTACAAGAGAACTGATCTCAGTTTTGTTACTGTTCTTGTCAATCAACTCCAAGGCAGGAACCTAAATCCCAACTCTTCTCAAGTAACACAGGAGAGGAATGAATGCAGAGAGAGAGAAAGGTTTTTATTTTATTTGTGCAAAATATCAAAAGTATTCTGTGCCTTGAATGAAATTTGCATTTATAATATTCTTCTAATATGACCAATATAATAAAAGAAAATGCACAGAATGATACAACCAAGGAGGAAGTTGGCACATGGCTCACAATTCGTCATAGTGAGAAAAACAACAATATGAGGTGAGGTTTCTGGAACAGAGCATTTTTGTAACGATTTTCCAAATGTGTCTGGAAATACCTTCAGCAAGAAGCATTCTTTGTCAGGAGAGTATGTTTCACTGGAAATTAAACAAATACAAATAAAGTTGCAACAGCGCTTAAGAGCAAATACA